CTGAACCGGAGGGTCCGGCTGTGTCTCTGTTTGGGTCCTTGTCGAGTTCTGGACCGGAGCTGAAGAACCGCCGGGGAACGAGTCCCAGTGGAAACCCTCTGACAGAGGCGGGTCCTGGTCCTCCGCTCGTGTTGAGCGGTTCCCCTCGGTCCGGCTGACAAACTCGATCCCAAACCTGCAACAGAACCAAAGTCCAGAACAGAGAGGGTGGAGAGAAAAGAAGAACTGATGAAGGAGGGTCCGTCCTCACCTGGGACCGGCTCTGACCCGCTCCAGTTTCTTCCTCCTCGTGGTCTCGTACTTCTCCCTCCAGTTCTGGGTGGTCTGGGCCCCTGATACGTGGAGCAGGTTCTCTGTTGCTTGGTGGGCCACCCGGACCTTGGGCTTGAGGTTCAGATTTGGTTCTGAGGATGTGGTCCGGCCCGGGTGTTGGCGGACCAAAACCGGGCCCTCAGAGCTCGCCCCAGTCTCTCTCCTCCTGGCTGGATCTGAGTCACCTGACACCCCCGGGTTCTTCTCAGACCGCAGCGTCACTTCTCTCCCCGCCGTCCCCTCTGGTCCAGCTGCAGGGATCTTGGTAGTCTGGAACCTGGAGCAGCTGCTCCGCCTCTGAGCTCCACCTTCTGCCCTCCACGGCTCCTTCACGCCCAGCGCTCTCCTGATGTGCCGCAGCATGGCGCCGACATCCACGCCTGGTCTGGGGGCGGGGTCTGAAGCGGGTTTGGCTGAACTTGGACCTGCTGGTCCGGTCTCAGGGGACCCAAAGATCAGAGCTCCATGCTGAGGGAGATGATCACTGGTGAAGTCGTCCTCTGCTGCTCTGCTCTGCTGCTGGTTCTGATACTCATTCTGGACCCCTACAGACCCGGTTCTGGGTTCTGGGGGGTCGGACAGTCCTCCTTGGATGTGGTCTGGTCTCCTTGAAGGTCTATCAGGGACTCTGGTTCCAGGATTGTCGTCTTCATACCTGATCTGCTGAGAACCTCCTCCTGACAAAGACCTCCCACCGTCTTCAGGAGGTCTCTGCAGACCGGACCCTTTCTTCTGTTTGGTTCTGGTCTTGGTTCTGGTTTTGCTTTGGTCCTGATGGGTTTCCTGGGTCTGGTTCCTGTTCTTTGCTGGTTTGGGTTTTTTCTTCTTGACCGTTTTGGACGGTTTTTGCTTTTCTTCAGGTCGTCCAGGAAGCTCCTCCCCCTCCTCTCGTCTCTGAAGATCCTGATTCAATTTTCGGACTTTCTTCCTTTTTTTTTTCATCCTGTGGAAAAAAAACAAAAACAGACAAAATTAAATAATAAAATAATAATAATAATTTAATTATCAATAATAATATTGATCATATTGATAATCAATAATAATATTGATATTGAAATCAAACACTTTGATCTGGAGAGGACGCTCACTCTCAGACGGACACAGAGTTCTGAAGAACCCGTTTGTTAAAAACATGATTCAGGTTAGCGAGCTTCACGCCTGTCATCTTACTCGCCACCTTCACAGTCCTGTCCAGGTCATCTTTCTCTCTGGTCCCCTGGTTACCGTGGCAACAGAGAATAAAAAGATCTGACTGATTCAATAAAAGCAGAATAAAGCAGCGACTTCAGGGACTTATCGATGTGAGATCTGGCGAGCTTTCATCAACAGAAAAGTCGTTGCTGGTCTTAGATTTAAAGTTCAGGCTGTTGTCGATCACAGCGCCTAGATATTTAGAGCTAGATCTCCACAGCCTCACCCTCGACTGTTCTGTGGAGCTGAGGGGCTCGTCTCAAATCTACTCGTCTTTTGTTTTACTGACGTTAAGTTGTAGGACTGCGGTTTCATCAAAATGTTCCGCCCCCTTGTGACCCCGAGTCCAACTCTCACCGCTGCTTCTTCAACTTGTTGTTTCTCCTCTGAATGTGAACGAACATCTCACAGGAGCACGGATGACCAGACCTCACACCTCCAAGAGACCTCTTCAACCGGGCTTTGAGCTGAGGGGGGCCGGAGATGTGACCCCAAACGGACTTTTGACAGACCTGACAGGCATGGGAGGAGCCTCTGAGAGAGAGAGAGAGAGAGAGAGAGAGAGAGAGAGCGAGAGAGAGAGAGAAAGAGAAGGGAGGGAAGGAGGGAAGTCCAAATCAAAGTGATCGTTAAAAACTGTCCGACGTTTCAAAGTCGTAGTTTTGGAGGTGGAGCTCTCGGCGATCGGACACCTCTCCTTTAGAGGTGGAGCAGCTCTTAGTTCTGCTGCTGCAGGTTCAGACCAGGGGTGGACCACCATGACCATGGAGAGCCGAGAGGCTGCAGGTTTTCTCTCCGACCCAAAACTCCAGCAGGTGATTTCACTGATGAGCTGAGAGCAGGAACTGAACTCACCTGGTGGAGGTTCAGACTGTCTCTGGGGTTCTCCTGTCTGACTGTAAACTCTCATTAATGATCCTGATGCTTTATAACGATAATTAAAACACATTATAAAGTATTTGATCATCATGACTCTAAGGTCAGGTGTTATTATGTGTTATACTTATTGTTATAAAGCCTAATGATCATTAATGAGTGTTTACAATGATAGTTACTAATACATGTATAAATCATTATCAGTGAGGCGTTAACAGTTAAAACACATGATAATATCTGACCTTACAGTCATGATAAAATACTTTATAATGTGTTTGATTATTGCTATAAAGCATATTGATCGTTTATTAGTGTTTATAGATATACGGTTCTATAATGTGATTATAACACATTATATATATATTTATAAATGAGTTATAGAGAAAGGCGTCGAGTAAAGTGTTACCAAAACAAAAACATGTTAACATGAGAATTCATTAAAACACAAATTAAAGCCAGAAAATTCACTTTTTATTTGGAGCTGAAATATTTTTTAACTTCCTGAAAACAAAAAAAATCTAAATGTCCTTAAATTTAACAAATATATTTATTGATCTGGTTTGATACTTTAGATGTTTTTGGAAACTGATAAACTACAAGAGGACATTTTGATCATTTATCGACTGTATTCAGGTGTGTTTTTTAGTAATTTATTGATCATATTGATTTGATAGAAGTTTATAAACGTATGAATCAAATATGACAGAAAAGGCATTAAAGGGTTAACAGTGACTGAGAACATCCACAGATCTGTAAACTCTGATCCTCCTTCACTTCCTCTGTTCCCCCTGAACTACCATGAAGACTGTCAGGACCTCATGTTGGACCTCATGTTGGACCTCATGTTGGACCTCATGTTGGACCTCATGTTGGAGCTCAGAGAAACATCGATTGATTAATGAAACTCATTTAAAATCTTTATTTCTAATCAAACTGACGACTGAACTGAACTTCAAACCTTCACATGAACTGACCACCATCTCCGTAAGATTTGGTCACATGATCAATTTCTCTGGCTCAACTGACTCCGGTCTCCCCTATTTCTGGTCCAGTACAGTGAATATGGAGTAAATACTGAGACTCACCGGTCCATTAGGGTCTGCAGGTCTCTGTGGTCCAGCAGGTCTCTGTGTAGATCTTCATGGTCCTCCTGTGGGTCAGAGGAACAGGGTTCAGGACCAGGTTAGGGGTCCTGGTTCAGACTGTTGGACTTTAATGGACTCACATGGTTCTGATAGAAGAAGTGATCCAGATCACGGTGGACCTCTATGGTCCTCTTGGAGGACTCTGCAGACCTGAACCCCGCGGACCTGAGTGAAGACTTCTCCATTTCTGAAAGACGACACAAAATAAAGGGACTGGAACCTGCAGCCCAGACTACCTGAACCAGGACTCTGCTGGATTTACCTGCACCAGGACTCTGCTGGGTCCACCTGACCCGGTGGCTCGGAGGGTTCTGGATCAGCCCGGTTCTGGTCTCTCTCTCTCTTTAAATGTTTATTTACTTACAGATTTTTTCTCATGAAGACAAACTTCACCTGCTGCTGGTCGCCATGTTTAATCTACGTCTTTGGCGCCGGCCTCACGTCAGCCAATCATTTCTACGTTTGATTTTGATTGGCGGTTGGGTTGAACCAATCGTTAGACAGCGTTGTGGGCGGGTCAGCTGGTGACACCTGCATAGACATAAAATAAATAGACGCCTCGTTCCGTGCTGGAGCGTAATCCAGCGTCATCAGAGGATCTGATCTCCTTTTTAATCTGTTTATTTTAATTATTTTAGTTCTTCTGATTCAGTCAGTTTTTCTGTTTGTGTGTCTGTTGATCTGAACATGGAGAAGCTCTCTGTATAAAGACAGTAAAGCTCTGGTTCTGATTCTGGTTCTAAAGTAGTCGGGTTTACCTTCCCCATTACAAACAAATGTGGGGCCGATCTAAGATGGCGGCCGCGCCGAAGCGTCGGTCTATGAGGCGTCTAGGTTTTTCATGTCTATGGTAGACTGGGTCGGGAGGTCCGAAGCGTTTTCGGGTATCGAGCTTCAATCCGGTGAAGGAAGAGGATCTGCAGCTTCAGAACCGCCCAGTTAGTTTAGACCAAAGGAACCACAACATACCAACAAGATACTGAGAACATACCAACAAGATACGGACAACATACCGACAGCATGTGTACCGGCTGTGTGCAGAAAGAGTATCCGGACCGGGTAAGTGGGTCGGTCTGTCTGTATCTGAACTGTTGTGAGACCCTCCGTCCTAACAGGTTCTGGTTTGGTTCTGGTCCAGGGGAACACCTGTCTGGAATCTGGATCTTACTTGATGAACTACCGGAGCTGCGTGAGCTGTCAGCGGAGAGACTTTGTTCTGATCCGGAATAAAACCACCGAGGACGAGGACGGAGAGGAGATCGTCACCTTTGACCGTGAGCATCTCTAAAAACAACCCTCCTAACATCAGAGACCAGAAACAGGATAATAGTCAAGATTAATAATCCAGAGTCAAGATTAATAATCTAGAATAAAGAATAATAATCTGGAATAAAATCACTGAGGACGAGGATGGAGAGATCGTCACCTTTGACCGTGAGCATCTCTAAAAAATAACAAACCTCTAAACATAAAAAATACAGAAAAATAATCATGATTAATAATCCAGAATATATAATTATCCAGAATAAAGTATAATCTAGAATAATAATCCAGAATGAATGATAATAATCCAGAGTAATAATGTAGAAAAAATGATAATAATTCAGAATAATAATCCAGAATAAAATAATAATCTGGAATAAAGAATAATCATCTGGAATAAAACCACAGAGGACGAGGATGGAGAGGAGATCGTCACCTTTGACCGTGAGCATCTCTAAAAACAACCCTCCTAACATCAGAGACCAAAAATCCAGAATAAAGTTTAATAATCCAGAATAAAGGAAAATAATCTAGAATAATAATCCAGAATGAATGATAATAATCCAGAGTAATAATGTAGAAAAAATGATAATAATTCAGAATAATAATCCAGAATAAAATAATAATCTGGAATAAAGAATAATCATCTGGAATAAAACCACAGAGGACGAGGATGGAGAGGAGATCGTCACCTTTGACCGTGAGCATCTCTAAAAACAACCCTCCTAACATCAGAGACCAAAAATCCAGAATAAAGTTTAATAATCCAGAATGAATGATAATAATCCAGAATGAAGTATAATAATCCAGAATGAAGGCCCTCACCTGTTTGTGTCCTCAGATGTTTGTAAGAACTGCGACCACATCATCGCCCGGCATGAATACACCTTCAGTGTTGTTGATGAGTACCAGGTAATTCGGGGTTAATAATAATAACTTGGTTAACAGTCACGGCGGTCGGTTGTTTTTGTTGAGTCTTGTCCGTCTCCTGTCGTGTCTTCAGGAGTACACGATGCTCTGCATGCTGTGTGGAAAGGCGGAGGACTCCATCAGTGTTTTACCAGATGACCCCCGACAGTCTGCGCCGCTCTTCTAGACCTGAAACTCACCTGAACGACAGGTCACAGGTTCACCGCAGGATCAGCTGTTACCACCATCTTCTACTGGCTGCTCACTTCAGGGTTCGACTGACTTTCATTGGCTATCGACTGAAACGCACATCTAACCACATCAGGTCCTTTTCTGAGCTCCTGTCCACTGATGACCTGAAGTGACTTTTTACTCCATAAAATCTCTTTTTATCTTTTAATGAGGGTGTCGTTGAAATAAACGTTTTACAGACACGAGTTTATCTTTGCTCTTCATTTGACTGAGTTTACAGCAGATGAACTGAAGCACAAACCCACAGCTCTGTGATGATGATGATGATGGTCGCACACACACACAGACAGACAGACGACCACGATGGTGTCTCCGCAGGAAAGAAAACAGCAGCTGTGTTTCTTGTCTATATTTGGATGTATTTTGATCAGAAGCAGCTGAATAAAAAAAACAGATGTCTCATCAGTTTGTACAAATAAAAAAACAAAAACAAAGATCTCATGCACGTTTACAATACTGAAAGATGAGTGCACTTACATGTACATTCTACTACGCGGCGCCTTCTGTGACGAGTATTTCCGAGCAAAGTAAAAGCATACTACTACGACTACACGGTGAAACGCTAAACGAGCCGCTCACGGTCACAGAGTTTTCATTTCAGCTGTTCTCTTCTTCTTCTTCTGTGAGGTCAGCGGGCTGCACGCCCTGCTTCTGCACGCCCTGCTTCTGCACGCTTCACGCTGGCGTTGGTTTACTGCTCGTGATATTGACTATTAGTGTTTGTATAATGTGAGTACAGGGTTTCTATGAGTGTCTACCATTACTCTGATGGTTCGTCTCTAAAGTTAGCGTGTTTTTGTACATCCTCAGGTATGAAACATGATCTTTTTGCTCTCATGATGAGCCGACATGAGCGTTCAGAGGAGTGAAATGAGAGGTAAAGAGTTGGCAATCATGAGGTTATCATCTCGACCTTTGTCACGTATCCAGACACGTCCTCAAGTATTCGGAGAGGACGAATAAATAAATAAATACGTACATTTGATCGTAGTTTTTACATTACATACATTCCCTTGAGTAAATATCTCATTTACACATGCTATCAGGGACTGGGCGGGGCTCAGTCTCTGGCTACAGTTGCGCCGCACAGACTCGTCACTCGTGTCGTACGCAGTCATCGGTTCACTTTGCCCGAGCCTTTTCCCTCGTGGATCAGACCCCGCCCCCTGGAGCAGTGGCCCCACAGACCCTGCCCTCCGGACCGGTCCTGTGGGTGAGCGTGACGGGCAGGAGGGGAGCCAGATAAGCTGGACGGAGAGCGGCTGCGTCCCTGCAGGGCACCGCCATCACGCAACTCTTGTCTGGAGGGGGAGGAGCTTAGCGAGCGTTGCAGGGAGGAGGAGGAGCTGCGAGGGCGAGGAGGAGGGCTGAAGAGCATCCTGCTGCGGTCTTGCATCAGTTGAGTCAGACTGGCCAGGAAGTCTGCGTCGCTGGTGCTGCTGGCTCGCACCCTTAACCTCCGTCTCCTAAAGACAGTAAGAGAAGGAGAGATGAGAAAACCACGCCCACATCTGACATTTCCTTCCTCCTCTTCACTCCGACTCGCTCAACGCCGTCAAACGTTTCACTCCAGGGTCCTCGTTTATCAACCGTTCGGAGAAACGGTTCGAAATTCTGTCGTAGGAACGAAATTCAGATAAAACTCTGCGGACGCGGTCGATCGAAAACACGGGTCAGTAAAACGCTGTTCTGGTCCCAGTTTGATCCGTCCGTCTTCCTGTCGGCGTGACGAGCAGCAGCCTTCAGTTTATTTACAGTAAATATTTATATTTATAACTTCATTAAAGATTTTAAAAATCGGCCGATTCATCGGTAATCGGACCCCCCCAATAATCGGTATCGGCCCCAACCCTACATCACACAAGTGCTCTATACTTGTTGGGTAATATTACAGTACACATTATTAAACAACTAATGCACTGCCTAACATGATGCAAATAAACCATTCAATGGCCATACTACTGTCTGCCAAACCAATGTGCTAGAGTTGACTTTCTAACTGGCCACAAAATCAGTGATTTGAGTGAGTTCTGCAATAATAAGAGTAAAACAATTACACAATAATTACTGCTGTAAAAAGTACAGTAAACAGCAACAACAAAACACTCTCAATGAGTAACCTAAAGTGACACTTTCATCAGTGCAATCAATGTTAAGGGAGGGGAGGTGGCGTTAGACTTGGCGTTAGGTGATGTGGTGTTCTCTTTTTAAGTGGGTCTGCATGTTTGTCGTGCCGCCGTTGTACGGCTTCTTAATGCGGCATTCTTTGCAAATGACGGACGTTTTGTCGAGCTTTCCGTCTTTCTTTGCAAATCCGTAGTGTTTCCAAACATATGATTTAAACGTAGCGGGTGCATTACATATAAGCTCTTTCTCGCTGCTGCTCACTTGAATGTGGTCCATGCTGTTTTAGTAGTAGTGCATGGTATGTCCCTCACGGCTTCCGTCCGTATTCAATACAAAACGTGAAAAAATGATGGTGCATTCAATGCGCCTGGGAAACAGCAGATTGGGTGAAGTTTAACATGAATAAAACGGCGCTTGCATCGGATTTTACCGATACCCACCAACGCATCTAGATGAATCTAGATTTAACCCGTCAATTGCATCGATACCCAGTGAATGAGCCGACGCAGTCGCATCGCGCACATGCGCATCGATGCATCGATTGATATCGATTATTTTCCACACCCTTAGTGTAAACCTGCTCAGAGTTTAGATCCACTTCACGTCCAGGTCGATCAGACTCTGCGTGTGAACGTTCGTACGAACTCGTTACGAAAACACGTCTGTACGAACGCCGCGTCGATAAATGAGGACCCGGGTCTGGGTTTAGACCGGACTGGACCTGAATGACTGTGACGAAGGGTTCGGTCTAGACCGGCTCTCTTCAGGACCGCTGTTGTACCTCTGAAACATGACGGTTTTTACAGAGAGCATCATGGGAAATGTGGTTCATGTACCTGTTGTCCACGCAGGGCCGGAGGGGGGGTTTCCCAGGAGGTGGGCGGGGCAGAAACCTGCTGGTGAGTTGTTCCGGTACAAAGGTGGCGCTCACGGGCCGAGGGATCTTACTTTTACTCCCTGACGACGAGGACAGAGACAGGGGGTCTTCGCCCACACAGTCGGACCTGGACCCTCGGTCGGAGGACAGCCGGTCTCTGGGTAACGCACACGGCAGGTTGTCACATGACAGAGAGGGGGAGGGGGAGTGGGTGGGGGAGCCGGGGACGGGACTGCTCCAGCGGTGACGCCTCTCAGCGGTGGGATCTTTGACCGGAGAGTCCAGGGGGGCGCTGGGGTCTCGTACCGGGATGCGGCTCAGTCTCGGGGACAGGGGGGAGTCTCTCCTCCTGAGGAGAGCCGGTGGGGGGGACGAGGAGACCGTGACGGTACTCTCCACGGCCCCTCCTGCTGCGTCGGCCTGAGGCTGCTGATTGGGCTCAGAGGACCGGTCCGGCAGACCCGAGTCACTCTCGGGGTCTCTGTCGTTGGTCAGGGTCGCAGCGGGACCTTTGACCAGACCTGGACCTGGAGAGAACTCCAGCCGGTCTTCGTCCTTCAGGGTTTTCTCCGGCGCCTCCAGGGGGATGGCGTCACTCCGCTCCTGTCCAGGAGACTGCGGTCCAGAGCTGGAGGACTGAGAGGAGACAAGAGCTGGTAAGACCGGGGTCTGAGTAAACCTGGACTCAGGACTCTGTTCTGGACTAGTAGACCACCTCACTGTGAATTCATGTGTTCATATTAAATTAATGTGAGACAGGAATCATTTATGAGTTTGTCCCTCACTGAAGAACTTGGACGTCAGATCTTAAAAACTCCCAGCATGCCCGGTTCTAAACATGGACGCAGACACTCACCCGTGCACACACGCAGGAGCACACAGACTCTTCCTTCCACACATGTCCCACTCTGAGACATCCAGATCTAGTGTCAAAAAACCTGTTTTTAGTGGAAGTCTATTGGCCGACAAAGGAGGGTGGGCGGAGCTAAAGTGACGGAGAACTTCAGGAGACACCGAGTTTTTTATTTTTGACTCTAAATGAGATTTTCTGATCTTTAATAAGAACTGAGGGTTCAGACAAACACGTCCTCCTCACCTGGTCCATCGGAGGTCTCCCCATGATGACTGACGGCATCTGTCCCAGCATGCCCGGCAGTCTCCTGTGACCCAGTAACCACGTGCCGGGCATGGTCATCTGTGAGAGGACCGGACTGCTGGGTACGGCTGCTGCTGGCTGGGCGTCCTGTGGGTCGGTGGACTGGTCCTCGGTCTCAGCGGGGGTCTGTGTCCTCAGCTTGTCCTCACCAGGAGGCTTGGTGGTTCCAGACCCGCTTCCTTGCTCGAGCTCCAGCATCACCCACTCCTGAGAGTCTCCCTCCTGAGGGACCGGACTGAGGTTCACCGCTACGAAGCCGCTGCTGGCCGCGCCCTCCTCGGGGTCAGGGGTCGCCGTGCCGGAGTGTTCCTCGTTACAGGAGGGCGACTGCAGACGCTCAGGAATCAGACCAGGACGCTGTTTTCCCAAACTGAAACCAGACGGTTTTAGTGAGTGGAACCAAAACCTCACAAACACACTCGGTACTTTCTGCTTTTGGACTTACTAAGCTTCAAGGAAGCGCTCGATGGTGGGTTTGGGTTCTGGTGCGAGTCTCTTCTCAAACGCCAGACTCTGGCTGTGTCTCATCCTCCGGAGCAGAGGCGCGGCCCGCTCCAGGAACATGGTCTCTGACCGGACTCGCCTTGGAGAACTCTGCATGGAGCCGGTGTTGGGACTCTGGTTCCCCTGGTTCTGACTGTGTTCATCCTCACTGACCACCTAGAAGAGAAGGAAAAGAACTGAGAACTGGACCCACCTGGAGGACACCCAGATCAGCTCTTCAGCGACCCCCTGTGGAGAAAGGTGTTCATGTTGTTGCCGATTTACTGTCGAAGAAAAATACGATTTTTAACAAAAACATCGTCTGACTTCAGTTACAGGTGGAGGAGACAGGAATCTTCTAATATCAGTCAATAGTTATTAGTTATTGATTATTTGGTAATATATCGATATCTCTGTGTTCTCTTCTGTCTGTGTCGTCAACATTTGAACATTTTTGAGCGGTCCGCTCTTTCTGACTGTAAACAAAGCCGTTCTCCACCTCCTCTAACCTGATTGGTTGTGAGGCAGACGCTGCTCCCCCGTGTCGTTCAGGAGCCCAAACAAAGTTAGCGTGCTACAATATCGGACAGTAGAAACCAACCAGAATTGGAACGACACGAGCGAGCAGGAGCGTCTGTTTGTGGGCGGGGCTTGAGGGGAGAGGAGGAGCTGAGGGGAAAACTGGTTGGAGGAGTCGAGTTTACTTTCAAGATTTCTCCTAAAAACTGGAACTTCCTCAGATCCTGACTACAACACCTCTAAAGTCAAACGTACCAGTCTTCCCAGTTTAAGTCCAGTGACAGCACCATGATGTTTTTCAGTTCCGACCACAGAGAGACATCAGTCTGAACGTTTACAGGACACTCAGGAAACCGGATTACCGCTTTACTGTGATTAACGGGAAACAGAACTCTTGTGATCAGCTGAGGAGTCCGGCAATCCTCAGAGGAACGGAAAGAAGTCGGTGTAAATTGACACGTTAACTTGAATGGTTACGATCAGCTACGATCGGAGGATACGACCTTTTAGGAGACGATCAGGATGAAGGTGGAGGTCGGGGGTTAGACTCTTTTGGAAAGGACAGCTGGACTTACTTGGGACGTTTTGCCTAAGGCGAAACATCCCAAGTAAGTCCAGCTGTCCTTTCAACGAAGAGTTGGAAAACATAGATGCTGCATCCTCAGTTTTAGACAACATCTCCAGGTTTAGGAGGAACATCTGCGTCCATCCAGACAAAGATGTTTTCAGAGAAGACCTTCAGATGATCCAGAACCAGATTCTGACAACAGTTGAAATGAAAGTTTGATCGGACAATGTGTGTGTGTGTGTGCGCCACAACTCTGTAACCCCGGACCAGAAACACCAAAGAGGAAGTGTCGCCATCATTTAAAGAACTTTCGACTCAGAAGCAGCTGAAACACGAAAGAAGGTCGACTTTCAGAACGAGGAGGAGAGCGCCGTCATGCTTCCTGTCCTGACAGAAACGGACACTTTAAAGTTTATGGACGGTCTCAAAACGAGGAACAGAGAATAATAATAATTTAATTTTCTCAGCTGCATGTAAACGAGGACAAGGAGAGAAGATTCAGAGGAAAGGACGAGTTCTGAGTTTAGTCTGATTAAAGTGAGACTGTAAACGACCGGAGTGAGAGTTTAAGAACAGGAGATACAGGAGGAGCTCTTCCTGAGTGTCAAAGGTCGTCAGGACGCCATCATGATTTCTCAGACATGATTCAGTCCGAGGACGCTCACAGATGGAAGAGTAACGGTCACACACAGAGCTCACGCTCAACCACGTTCCCCTGACCTTCCTGATCAGCGGCTGGGCGTGTTTATGGTTCCGATTGCGATCCATCTCCTCCCAAACGTCTCCACCCGGGGTGGTCGGGGTGGGGATGGGGGGGCAGTTGTCGGCGTCACTGAGGCGCTCCCCCTGCAGGACGTCCTCGGTGTTCTCCCTCTGCAGCTCACCCGGCAGCACCGAAGCGTTGGCCATGCTGTGGAGGAGAGGGGAAGGTCAGCCTCATATTTAAGCTCCGCCCCCATCAGCAGACTGTGAAGGACGGATGTTTTAAATACCCGAGGTAGGCCGGAGTGAGGCGGGTCAGCTGCTGGGCGGTGGTGGCGGTGGCGGTGATGGTCAGCACATCCTCTGAATCACATTTCTCCCAGTCATAAGGGTCGTTCTCCAGCACGCTGTGGCTCTTCATGGCGTTTTCAAACACTGACATCAGGAGCTGTCACACAGAAAACACCCGCCTCAGCATTTAGTCGCACAGCGGACACGGTCTGCAAAAACAGGCTCAGAGAGACCTGACCGACCTGATAGTCCGGCTTAGTGAAGTAGTCCAAGGTCAGGATGTGATCCAGGAACGTAGTGAACTCTGAGGGGAGGTGCTTCAACATGAGACGATGGTCGTACGTCTCCTTCAGGTTTCCCACCTGTTCCTGAAAAAAGAGAGGGAGGAGTTAGAGGAGGAACAAACGAGGATTTACCGAGACAAAGAGACACGTACTTTATCTTTAATTTTCCTCCAGGGCAGCTGACCGACCGTGAACTCCACCAGCATGTAGAAGAGGGACCACAGGTCGTCATGACGACCCATTTCCTGCACGGTCAGACAAACAGCTGTGAGTTCATATGAAGAGTAAAAAAGACGGGATAAAAGGAGGAGAGTGTGAGGATGGAGACGTCTCACCTTATTTTTATGAGCGTTTATCGAAGCGTATCGAACAGTTCCTCTGAAACCTGCGACAGGACGAGGCTGAAGGACGACAACGTTAGAGGCGTTACAGACAGGACGCCATCTTTACCATGACCATCATTCAAAAGGTCATCTAGATGTCTCCTTCATTTGTTTTTAACTAATCCGCCTCCAACAGGAAGGAAGGAAGTCAACTTCATTTGTAAAACACTTTTCACATGGACAAAAATAAAAATGTACAAAAGAAAAGATCGAGACAACGACATGAAACAGTCATATCAGCCCAAAACAACCAAACAAACGCCTGATAGATCAGTCTGGAGTTAAAGAGTCAACAGAGAGAGAAGATCACTCCAAAGCCCGGAAGGATCCGTGAACGAGTGAACGGAACCATCAGCAGGTTCTGATCCACGGACCTCAGAGCCCAAAGGGGGTGTAGGGCTGGATCAGGTCACAAATGAAAGATGGAGCCTGACCATGTGGAGCTCTAAATGTCAGAACCAGACTTTAAAAACGGATCCTCGAGGACGCAGACAGCCAGTGAAGAGCTCTAAGAAGAGGGGACATATGAGTCCTCCTGTTAGCGCGGGTCAGAACTCTCTCTGCAGAGTTTTGGACTGACTGAAGACGAGACCGCTCCTTTTTGTTCAGACATGAAAACAAACTGTAACAGTCGTCTAAACGTGACGACACAGAGGCCTGAACGATGAGCTCCAGGTCATTCTGAGACACCCTTTTCCTAAACTCAGAGATTTTCCTCGTTTCTCGTCGGTGTTGCACGGAGGACATGTCTCCGTCAAAGAGGACACCCAGGTTTCTTAGGCTGACTGTCCTCAGTCACTCAGGTCCTGTTTAATCCCAGGGGCAATAACCAGTCAGAGTACTTACTGGACGGACTTCCTGGCTGGAGTTGGTAAACTGGCGGGCCAACCCGAAATCAAGCATGTAGCAGCATCTGCAGGTACTGGCGAGTCTCCCCATGGCGAAGTTCGACTAGGTTTAAAACAGACGAACACGTTCAGATTTACTTCTCTGGTCGTAGAAGAGTGATGGCACCATCTAAGGTGGAGCAGGCGTCAGGTCTACTCACAGGTTTAATGTCGCGGTGCAGGAAGCCCACAGAGTGGATGCTCTCGATGGCCTCTAAGATCTGTTTGCCCAGCCTCAGAGTCGTGGAGACAGAGAAGGTGGCCCGGCTCATGGTTCGACGTAGATCTGCCAGATTCCTCCCCTTCAGAGAGCAAAGATTCACCATCAGATTTCTCACTCATGAGCTGCAGGTAGAAAATCACGGACCGGACAGATCCTACCTGGAGCTCCATCACCACGTAGTTGAAGCGGTCGTTGCGTCCACAGCCCACAAAGCGGCACACGTGATCTTTACCTGATAAGAGATAGAATCACTGTCTCAAACTCAGAGTATCCTGACATCCCTGCAGTCATCTCTATGTGGTTTAGATCTACGCTGCTTTGGATAAAAGCCTCTGCTAAATGACCCCGTACCTGTCAACGCTACAAAAACTTATAACGACCAAAGTGAACGTAAACACAGACCAACTTCTGTCTCTGTGAACATGTGAAGAGTGGACACCTGCCCACGAAAATTTTACCATCAACATCCAGAGCCGATTAGAAAAAGGAGAAAGTTTATTATGATTTAAAAGGATTTTAAATATTTATAAAGATTCAGAACTAAAGTGAATGAGCGCTGAGTTACAGAGAGAGGAAGAAGTTTGTGGAAGAAACTAAAGAAACTAAAGAAACTAAATCAGATTTGATCTTTAAAAAAAGTCAGTCTGTCGAGTAAAAACAGGGAAACATGTTCATCTGAGTCTGAGTCTGTTTGTTTGTGTAAAAATGTGAATTAATGTGGTTTTAACTGTTTGTTTCTGAGAATAAGAAATAATAAAAAAACATGTGGTCCTGCAGCTCTGCTTTATTTGATTATTCTGTGTTTAGTTGATGAATCTAAAGAGTTTTTCTTCTTTCTGCTCTTTTACATTCACATGTTTGAGGTTTTTACTCGTTTGTTTTGAAGGTTTTAAATATGAACTGAATGAAATAAAGTATAAAAAATAACTGGATCAGGACTCTCTGGTCTGTGTGTGTTTGTCGGTCTCTCTCACCCTGGAGCTTCTTCAGCACAGCCACCTCCATCTTCAGCACTTGTTTGGGTTGTTGGGCCGACTCCACCTTTAAGGCGACGGTGGCCTGGCTCAGCTGATCCAGAACCTCATAAATCTCCCCGAACCCGCCCCCACCGATCTTCCTCACCTAAAAAGACAGGAACACTGAGTCACAGAGCAGAACCATGAGGACTGAACAACGTGCAGGTGTGACGTCCATCTCTTCTGCTGTCTGTGACACTCACCACCTTCCATCTGTCTCTGACCACGTCTGCCACTGACAGGATGTCCGTGTGCTCTCCAGCCCCACTCATCCTGAGCTCTCAGGTGCAGCCTGGACCTGGCATCAGAGACCGAGACTCCTCACTGGAACAGAGAGCACATTCAGATATAAACAAAACAAAACATTATATATATATAAAGTTAATGTCCCTCAATATCAATATAAAACATGATCAATATCCTTTTCAATAGTCGTCATTCTGACATGTTTTTGTCGACTAACGAACAGTCGGGCTGGACGATCTGCTTTTCTCCTGATTCGATTCTTCTACGATTGTTTGGATGTTGATTTGATTTAAATTGTGATTCTACGATATTGTTGATTTTCTCGATCTTTAGTCTGTATTTTAAAGTGAAACAGATCAATGATTATGATCGTCTGCTGACTATTAAAGGAACCAGATTTACACAAAAATACACATGGAGGTCAGATTTTAGGATTTATTCTGAAAATTTGAAGAAAAATATTTGATTTAAAAATTGTAAAACAAAAAATCTTGATACTTATATGAATTGTTTTTTGTCTCCCACCCCTAAAGAACAGCCAATAAAAAGGGGAGTTTTCCAGGTCTGAACCAATCATGTTCTGAATTAGAACCAAGTATCAAACAGCTGCAAAGTCGTAGCAGACAGCAGCTCCACCCAACCATAGCACTTTAACATCACAACGCCTTACGACAAAACGCCGAAGAGACACAAAGGCTGTGTTCAGACTGCAGGTCTGATGTTTTAACCATCTGTGACTCATATCTGATGTTTTCATCTAAGTGTGAACAGGTCAGTTCTGATTGGTTCTGATCCGACCCAGGCCTCTTCTGTATGTGGATATAAATCAGATATGTAACCGATGTGACTGCAGTGTGGACGCTCAGGTCGACCTATACCTAATCAATATGCGACAAACGTCACCGTTGTTCGACAACACAATCAAGCGCGGAAAGCAGTTTGAGTTTTGTGCGCATGCGGGTCACTTCACGGACACATTCGTTGTTGTTGTTGTAATGTGAACGACCGCACAAAAAGATCGGAGTTAACAAAAAATCCGAATTGAGCATCAGAACCTGCGGTGTGAACGTAGACAAAGACCTCACAGATGCAGGAGATTATTGTATCGTAAAAGACCTGTGATCAATAACAGGGTCAGACTCTAACTCTGTTCACATGTTCTCCTGAGTTAAAAAAGGAAGGAGCACAAAGACCTTCAGGGATCAATGAAAACTGATTTTTTTATTCACACATGTGACCCTAAATACATTTGATGATTCACACACATGTATTTTTAGTGGCAGTGAAACGTCTCAGGACTGTGGAGGCCTGAATGAACACTGATAAACATCATTTATATATCCTGATACTTATCGATATTGACCGATATATAAATATATACCGTGATAGACTTTAACTCATATCGCCCAGCCCTACACTCAGGGGGGGTCCTGTTCACTGCAGCTGATCTGGAGGATGGTGTGGGGGGACACACACACACACACACACACACACACACACACACACGTGGACAAACACCTTTTCAGGTGAGCAGGTGAGTCTGTTCTGATCCACGGACAGGTGAGGAAGTGTAGCTCACCTGTCCAAGTTCCGAACAGACCCAGACTGACGCAGAGGTGGACTCAGGTCCAGTCAAGGTTCCTTTGACTCTGTGCCAACATGCAGCTACATGGGCCTATAAATGACCAGAACCGACCAGAACCGGGCCGTCAATGAGGATACTCTTTCTTAAACAGAGCTCATTTGGACCCGTAAACAGGCTAACTAGCATAATTCTGATGAACTGAACCGTTAGACTCGAACCTCTTACCTCACTTCGTCTCTTCATTATGAACCCGGATGTTGTTTAAAATCCACTCCCCATAGTCCCGCTGTGAGTTCTTCTTAAACCAGCTCATACCAGGACACGGACTGGACCGCGGTTCCGGACCATAGCTGCTGTCGGTCACTGTTAGCCTGTTAGCCTGATGCTAATGGATGATGCCCCGCGCGCTCCTCCTCCTCGCGGCAGCAGCAGCAGCAGTGGCAGTGACGTCACTGCGCCAGTCTCCTCGCGAGCGTGTGTGTGTGTGTGTGTGTGTGTGTGTGTGTGTGTGTGTGTGTGTGTGTTTGTGTGTGTGTGTGTGTGTGTGTGAACACTGCAGATTCAGGGCCGCAATAATCAGACCCCGAAGACACGACAGAACCTGCTTTCAGGGTCAAGAGGGAGTCCTGAATAATAATAATAATAATATTATTATTATTATTATAATTATTGTTACTATTATTATTATTATTATTATCGTTATTATTGTTGCTGTGTTGTTATTATTATTGTTGTTATTATTATTATTATTATTATTATTATTATTATTATTATTATTATTATTGTTGTTGTTGCTGTGTTGTTATTATTATTGTTATTATTATTATTTTTGTGTTATTATTATTATTATTAATATTATTATTATTATTATTATTAGTGTTATTATTGTTATTATTATTATTACTATAACAAATCAAAATTGGAGGTATTGGTTTTTAACTGAGCTTTTGTTTTTTATTCGTTTTTATTTCCATGTGCTGATGTTCTGAACTTTACTTCCGCTTGTCAAAGAACTTTGTCAACTTCTGTTTTTCAACTGAATCAGGACATAATTGATCATTCAGAAAAGTTTTCCTCACTATTGATCTCTGTCTCTATGTCAGGACTACCTGGGCCCCCTTTCCTCCCTTTGGATCCCCGGATCCTTGAGTAGTCTGCTCTACTTAGAAACCTCTGAAGCCTCCATGATATCCGATGATACGCACTCTGACCAAACAGAGGCCTCCTGCTGTGCTACGGAGGCCGAGAACTGCCACTGCTGCAAACTAAAAAATAATGCAAAAAAAAAAGAGAGAGAGAAACGGTGCAGATGAAAAAAATAGCCACAACAGAAGTTAAGTGCAAAAAAAGTGGGGAAGCAAAAAAAAAAAAAAAAAAAAAAAGTTAATTACTGTGAAAATAAAAGGATGCAAATAAAAAAAGCCACAACAGAAGTGAGTTGCCGGGGACCAATAATGATGATGCACTGGTCACTCGGTCACCGTCTCATGTGTGCATCCTTTTATTTTCGCAGTAAGTAACTTTTTTTTCTCTCGTCGTTAACTTCCTTTGTGACATTTTTTTTACCTGCACCAATTCTTTTTTTTCTTTCGGTTTCTTTTTCTTGTTTTTTTAACATCAGCCTTCTTTATTTTTGCATTCTTTTTTATTGCAGCAGTGGCTGTTCTCGGCCACCGTACTGTGCTGATGCTACTCAGAAACTCCAGGAAAGGGCCGCAAACCCACGAAGAACACGGCTGCTGTGACCGCCCTCCTGCAGACTAACAGCTGGATTCATGTTTTATTGACTGATTAATTGATTGATTTAAGGTTCATTTTGAACATATTAAACAGTAAAGAACAAATGACAGACAGTAACTGAAGTATTTCTTCATGGTTGCAGGATCATCAGGGTTCGTCTGAGTTTTAATTTTCCTCGAACCTCCGAACTTTGACGAACTGAGAGTATGATGAACTTTGACCCCGCTCTCCGGGACAGCGCAGACACCAAAACAAACGCACCCTGACTCGGTCATGGGCGTGGTCAGACACTCGGATTGGACAACAGGATGTGAGTTGAGCTGTTTTGGGGTGAGGCGCTGCGTCGAGGAGCGCACAACTTTCTGCGTCTTTGCGCAGTTTCGCAGCGTTCCGCACAACGTGGATGAACCCGAGCGCGTCCACGGAGCGGCGTGACCGTGCACGGGAGTGTGCAGATCTGCGAAAACAGGAGCGCAGTGCGCAGCTGCAGCTCGGTCGCCGTCTCGTGTGTGCGGTGGAGAAAGTTGTGGACATGTTTTCCTGAAGTGCACGGACGGACCGATCCACCGTGCAGAACCAGAACTTGAGAGGACAGGAGCCGGACCTGCAGCCCGTCCGGACTCCGGACCGGACCGTGTTGGTTCTCCTCTCGACCGTTCGCCATATTGTGAAACTCGGGGAAAGTTGTCAGAGTCATGACAGTTTCTGCTCCCCCCGTGGAGCTGCAGACTCTCGACTTTGATCGAAACCAGAGTGAGTCCGTGGAGAGGTCCGTGGGGGTCTCCGTGCACCTCTGATCAGGTATGTCCGTGTTTAACCCACGCTCACGAGCCCACGGCGGTGTCTCCTGCTCTCTCTCTTCCTTATTGCAGATTTCTGACAGAACATGAGTGGCCGTCGCTCGGCTGTTGCAGGACTCCCTCCTCCCTCCCTCTGTTTCCTGTATTTCTTGTTGTGCCAAATGGCAGCTGCTGCTCTCTGCTCTCTGCTCCTCTCTGCTCCTCTCTGCTCCTCTCTGTTTCTCCTGTCTGCTCCTCCTCGGTGCTGCAGTTTCTCTAAACTTCTTCTCTTCTTCTCGCCCTCCTCTGCTGTACCCGGGTTAAAGTTTCCTCCTCTTAAACTGCTCGTCAGTTTCCTCTCGGGGCCGTTTTTCCTCCTCAGGCCTCGTTTCCTCTTCGCTGCAGACAGTGAAAGTCGGCTGGAAACTTGGTGTGTTGGTCTGTGAAGTGTGAGAAAGAGAGAGTCTGACCCCTCCTGTCTCTCACAGGGTTCAGAAGAGGAAGAGAAGAATGTTGAGAGAAGTCCTGGTCTGATTCTGAAGGACTGTTGCAGGTTCTCCCCCCTCTGGACCTCCTCTGGACCTCCTCTGGACCTCCTCTGGGGTCTCCGTTTCCTCTCAGAACCTCTGAACTCTCTGATTCGCTGATTTAGATTAAAAACTTCGATGTTCATGAACTTCAAACCGTCACCATGAGTCTCCCTCCTCAAGTGAACCCTGACAAGAGCGCCAAGCACCGCGGTGCCGCCATGAAAGAGGCGGTGCAGCACCCGGGGGAGGTCTACTACGGGATGGGACCCCCGGCGTTAGAGGCGGGGAATTCTGCCAGCAGCCCCGGAGTTTACAACCCGGAGAAGGGGCCCCAGAACATTCAGCACTATCAGCAGGCGGCCCCCATGAAGTGGATGCACCAGGACTCTGGGCAGGCCCCCGGCTGGTCCCAGGAAGCCCCTCTGCCCGCCTGGGGGCAGAACTTTGGCCCCTACATGGGCGGCGTGAACGTCAGGGGTCAGATGGCGTTCCACAAAGGGGTCCACGAGGGCGTGACTCTGCCAATGGGAGGAGAGAACCAGCTGCCGGGGTCGGTGGAGGCGTACAGAGACGCTAACCAGGCGCCGGTTCAGGGGAGGGGACACGAGTGGGAGCAGCACGCCGCCGCCGCCGCCATGCATCAGGCTCAGCTGCAGGCGTACCAACAGGCTCACAAAGGGGTGGAGCTGCAGGGTCAGGCCCAGGTGGGTCCTCCTCCTCACGCTCTGCAGGGGTCCATGCTGCAACCTTTTCAGGCAACTTTCAGACCCAGCAAGCAACAGTTTCCGTCGGGTCACTACCCCGTTTTCCCCGGAAACAAGGCGGTCCAGAACCTGGCGTACAGCGAACAACCCAAAACTCAGCAACGCATGCTGCAACAGATGAGGCAGCAACAAATGCAGCAACAGCAACAACAGCAGCAGCAACAACAACAACAGCAACTGTTTCAGCAACATCAGCTGCAGTTACAACAACAGCAACAAATGCAGCAACAGCAGCAACATCAACTCCAACAACATCAACTCCAGCAGCAACAACTGAAGCAGATGCAGCAACAGTATCACCAGCAACAACTGCAGGAGCGGCAACAACAACAACAACAACAACTGCAGCAACTTCAGCAACAACAACAACAACAACAACAACAACAACAGAGTGCAGCGCAGCAGGAAACGGTCCAGGTCCAACCCAAACCGCCACAGATCCAGAGTTTTGGGACGTTCCCTCCTCCAGAACCTCTCCCCCCCAACGCTAAGAAGGACAAACCGGACCAGCAACTGGAACCAGAACCTGAGACCAGCAACGCAACACCCGGACCTGAGGCCGGCCCGCAAAAGGTTCCAACAAACCCCTCAGAACCCTCCAACGCTCCCCAGGCCGGACCGCGGCGTTCTCGGCGCCTGTCCAAAGACGGACAGTCCCCTTTAGGTCCCCCCTCCACCAACGTGTGGACTCAAGCCGCCAAAGAACCTCAGCCACCCCAGAACGGCGTGAGAGGAGCAGGAGGAGCAGGAGGAGCAGGAGGAGAAGCCACCACAGGAGGAGTCATCATCAGCAGGAGGAGGAGAGCCTCCAAGGAGATCAACCTGGAGACGCTGGCCCAGAAGGCGTCCGAGATGGAGCCCGCCAAAATGGCCAAGGTGAGAAAAACACTCATGACACCTCCTCCAACACCTCCTCCTCCAACACCTACACCACCTCCTCCAACACCTACACCTCCTCCTCCAACACCTACACCTCCTCCTCCCACACCTCCTCCTCCAACACCTACACCTCCTCCTCCCACACCTACACCTCCTCCTCCAACACCTACACCTCCTCCTCCAACACCTCCACCTCCTCCTCCCACACCTCCTCCTCCTCCTCCAACACCTCCACCTCCTCCTCCTCCTCCCTTCTCTCCTGTAGATCAGAGCAGCTGAGGGTGACTGACAGAAGAAGAAGATTTTGAGTTTATTTCAAATATTTAAAACAATAAAAGTTTAAAAATCAAACATTTCAAACATAAAAATACAGATTTGAACTTTTTTACAGAGACTTTTTTTTATAATAATAATAATAATATATTTATTTAAAAGTGCCTTTCTGAACACTCAAGGACACTGTCAGTTTATAAAAACACAGAAACATCATTAAAATAAAAACAACATAAAAGTGTGAGAGTGGACAGTTAGAGTGAATAACGTCAGTGAAAAAAACTCTGATCTGGTTTTTAGTCCAAACTGAAATGACAGTCGGGTCAGAACCACAGTGTCTGAGATCATGAGTGTGTGAGGGAGGTCCAGACCGATGAAGTCCCAGGAGCTCCTGAGAGTTCACCTGTGGACCTCCTCCTCCTCCTCCTCAGGTGTGTCTCCTTCAGCTCCGTCTTCAGCAGCTATTCCAGGTCTGCTCACTCCAGATTCTGGTTTCAGATCAGAACTGGAATAATCGATAACTGGTCCTTCAGGATTTCTCATATTTGTGTTCTTGGGTCACACCCTCAGCAGCTTCTGTATTTACCTTCAGCTTCCTCCTCCTCCTCCTCCTCCTCACATCCACAGTCAACACAAAAACAAGTCAAACACCACCCCTCTGTGTGTGTGTGTGTGTGTGTGTCTGCTCCACCCTCGGGGGGTTCAGGGGACTGTTGTGGTTCAGAGTGAGCTGCTGCTGCTGCTGCTGCTGCTGCAGGCGGAGGTTCAGGTGGAGCAGCTGCATGTCTGCACACCTCCACATTCCTCAGGCTCTTTCTCAGCACTCATTCAGGAGGAGCAGCAGGAGCAGGGAGGGGCCGCGCACGCACACACACACACACACACACACACACACACACACACACACACACACACACACACACCAAACAGGTTTGATATTCGTCTCTGAACTCTTTTCACTCAAACTCTGAAACCGTCTCGTTTTTTTCTCCACCATCAGCAGAATTTACTCAAACTTCAGTGAGACGTCCTCTGAGACGCCGTCCTCTGAGACGCCGTCCTCTGAGACGTCCTCTGAGACGTCCAAACTGAGCGTTTATTTACAGAAAGGTTAAATGTCCAGATTAGACAAACAGGAGGACACTAAAAAACGATCAGTCTGATTAATGATGTCAGTGAAGAGGTGATGAAAAAGGTTTGACTGCATATGTGTGAAATAAACCATTTCTATGGTGGCCGAGAAATGCCACTGCTGCAAATAAAAAAAAAAATGATGCAGATTAAAAAAAAATCACAGCAGAAGTTAATGATGCAAAAATGTGGGATTGCAAAAAAAAGTTACTCGCTGCGAAAATTAAAGGATGCAAATAAAAAAATCATCGTTCACTTCCTTTGTGCTTTTTCTGAGAATCTGCACCTTTTCTTTTTATTCGCAGCGTGCTCCAGTTTCTTTTTTTGCATCAGTAACTTCCACTGTGACTTTTTTTTTTTTTTTTGCATTCTTTTTTTGAAAGTCACTGAAATAATCCGTCTGTAGTTAAATCTGGTGGATAATCTCAGAGATAATCTGAGATTGAATCCCCGCCTCCTTCTTCAGTCCAGATTAAATCTAAAACAAAACAACAAACCTGATTTCAGAGTGAATCATGAATCCGGTTTGTTTGAATCTTCCTTCTGTTTTATCTTCATCTGTTGATCATCTGAACTCAAACATGAGGAGAGGACGTCCGTCTGTGAACGTGTGAATCCTCATGTCTTCATGTCTCTGATGAAGGGCTGAGCGAGAAGAAAACGTTCATCAGGATATTTACTTCATATCAGCCGATATCCAGATATATTCTTTGGCGTTTTGTCGTAAGGCGTTGTGATGTTAAAGTGCTATGGTTGGGTGGAGCTGCTGTCTGCTACGACACAGTTATTTGATACTTGGTTCTAATTCAGAACATGATTGGTTCAGACCCGGAGAAACTCCCCTTCTCATTGGCTGTTCGTTGGTCGACTAAAACATGTCAGAATGATGACTATTGAAAAGGATATTGATCATGTTTGATATTGATATTGAGGGACATTAAGTTTAGATAGATATCGTTTTATCGCCCAGCCCTACTTCTGCGTTCTTCGGTCTCTGTAATCCCTCTGTTCGACCCTTCGCCACTTCCTCTTCGCTCTGCAGGAGGACGGTTCTTCCAGCAGACAGCCCAGTATGGTTCCTCTGGTCATCCCTGTGTCGGTGCCGGTCCACAAGAGTCAGGCCGACCCTCAGGGGGGCTGGGCTCAGGGCCGACCCGGAGTGGCTGAGCGGCCCGCGGAGCAGTCCGACAGGAAACCCTCAGTCATCGTGGCGCGGCGGCGATCACACAGGAACCCGGTGAACGAGACGTTTGGTCAGGTGAGTGTTCCTCAAAGATTCAGGTGATCATGTGGTTCAGGGATGGTAGTGGAAGGTCCCGCCCTCCTTCGCCTCTGATTGGCTAAAAGTGCTGGGCTCTGATTGGTTCTTCCTTATGGCTGTGAAACGTCATCGTCTGTCGGGTTAGGAGACTCAGAATTACAATAATGTTCTGTCCGATGTACAGAGCCGACGGCCCGCGCTCCGCTTGAGCGTGTGACCACGTTTCACAGCCAATCAGAGTCGAAGGAGGCGGGACCTTCCCCTACCATCCTCCAATAATAAATGTGCCTCCAGGAAAGGGAGGTCCTCATGAGGAGCTCCTCTCAGAGTCTCCTCGCTTTAGTGATCAGCTGACTGACTCCTGAACCCGAACTGTTCTGACCCAAACCTCGTTTCTCTGTTCAGGATTTAGAGGATCAGGTTCTGGACGAGGATGGAAAGTCCAGACCGAAGCGCCGGCCCCGCCCTGAGCCCCTCATCATCCCTCCACACAGACCCTCCACCTTCATCCCTCCATCTCTCTACCCCAGCATCACCTCCTACCAGAGTAACCTGCGCTCCCCCGTCCGCCTGCCGGACCACCCGCTCACCCTGCCCCCCTACACGCCTCCACCCATCCTGTCTCCGGTCCGGGAGGGATCAGGACTCTACTTCTCCACCTTTCTGACCAACATCGCCAGCAACCAGATCCTGCCCCCGCCCCCGGCTACGCCCAAGTCTGCCACCCGCAGCCTCCTGCGCTCCAGTCAGTCCCGGTTTCTGATTTTTCCGTTTATTGATTTAAGATTTTAGTTTTTAAAAAAAAAGTTTAAAAAACTTTTTAAAACGTTCGTTTTTCTGTTTTTTCAGATTTTAGTTTTTTTTCTGAAGTTTTTAAAAAAGTTTAAAAAACTTTTTAAAATGTTTTTTTATTTTCTTAGATTTTAGTTTTTTCTTCTGAAGTTTTTAAAAAAGTTTAAAAAACTTTTTAAAATGTTTTTTTTATTTTTTTCAGATTTTAGTTTTTTTTTCTGAAGTTTTTAAAAAAGTTTAAAAAACTTTTTAAAATGTTTGTTTTTCAGTTTTTCCAGATTTTAGTTTTTTTCTAAAGTTTTTAAAAAAGCTAAAATACTTTTTAAAACGTTTTTTTATTTTTTTTCAGATTTTAGCTTTTTTTTCTGAAGTTTTTAAAGAAGTTTAAAGAACTTTTTAAATCGTTTGTTTTTCTGTTTTTCCAGCGAGCTCTGACATCACTCCACCCGTCCTCCCGCTGATCACTGATGCTACACCCGTCAGCCTGGAGCCGTGAGTACAGGAACCTCCTGATTCAGATTTCTGCCTCTGAAGGACCAAAAGTCCAGCTCTGGTTCTGTCTCTCCTTCTCCAGGCGGATCAACATCGGGCTGAAGTACCAGGCCGAGATCCCTGAGATCCGAGATCAGCTGTCCTCCCAGTTGGACCAGCACAGAGCAGACCTGGTCTGGCTTCCTGTGGACGAGTCCAGCCTCAAACCTGGTGATGAAGAGCGGGGTAAGCCTGTTCCTGTTCTGGTTCCTCTGGACCGGGTCGGTCCTCTTCTCCGTTTTTATGGGTTTTATCGTCTCTCTCTTTGAAGTGGAGGACTTGATGACCGTGGCGTGCTCCAGCGTGCTGAGAGGGGGCGGGACCAACCAGGAGCTGGTCTTACACTGTTTACATGAGAGTGGAGGAGACATCCTGGTGAGACCCCGACTCTCTGATGGTGACGTAATGAAACAGACGTCATTGATCTGATCGGCCCTGATCATCAATAATCCAATCTTTATTTTTAAAACACGTTAAAACAGAGAATGAAGAACAACGAGCCGTCCAATCAGGAGGGAGATTCAACAACTATCAAATATATAAAAATATATACAAACTATATATAATATAAAATAAATACAAACACCAAACAACACACATAGATACACACACACACCCACACACACAGATGACTGAGGAAACTCTGGATCTCGGACTAAAACAATAAAAACATGATAAAATATAATAAAAGTGATAAAGTTTTAAAAGTTAATAAAATAAAAGAGTCTTAAAATCAAACAATAACAGGAAGTAAATATAAAAACAGAGGAAATTAAACACATGACAGTTACTCCAGGACTAAAACAGGTAAAATCACATCATGAAGGTTAAAAGATTAAAATCAAATGGAACTAAAAGACTAAAAAGGTCTTTAGTTTTAAAAATCTGAACACTAGGTGTCGCTCTCAGGTCTGCAGGTCGGCTGTGATGATTCTGAAGACCTGAAGACCAGGACCACACGGTAAAATAAGAAGGACCATGAAGAGCTTTAAAAACTAATAAAAGAACCTTAAACTCTAAAATCAGACACAGGGAACCAACGCAGAGGTTTTTAAATTGGACCGATTGATCGACTGATCGGCTGATCGATCCATAATCCCTCCGATTAGCTCCATTCTTCCTCTTGTTGGTTCAGGGACGCTCAGATCTCTTCAGATTAAAATCCGATCTTCTCTTTTAGGAAACTTTGGCCCGTCTGATGCTCCAACATCCGCTCTACCCCAGAGGTCACCTCCTGGCAGGGTACCACTACTCAGGTGAGGACTCCTCTTCATCGCCTTGCTCCTCTCTCCTCCTCTCCTCTCCTCTCCTCTCCTCCTCTCCTCTTCTCTCCTCTCTGTAAATGTCTCCTCCTCGTCTCCTCTCCTCCTCCTCTCCTCCCTCCCTCTCCTCTCCTCTCTCCTCCTCTCCTCTCCTCTCCTCTCTGTAAATGTCTCCTCCTCGTCTCCTCCTCCTCTCCTCTCCTCTCTGTAAATGTCTCCTCCTCTCCTCTCCTCTCCTCTCCTCTCCTGTCCTCTCTGTCTCC